TGGTGCAAACTGTACTGTGATACTGAGGAATGATCACTAGTATAAGTAAACAGCCCAGGTACGGTGAAATTGTCACCTTGGTGGGACAGTGTCAGTAGCTGACACATTTCTGTGGCCATTTTCTCCTCTAGATTTGGCAATGCTGACAGAGTCTGTCCTGCCAATAACATGTTACTGACTTTCTGTGATATTTTGCATATGAGGTGCACTGTTATACATACTGACATCTTGCCACTTTCCAGTGATTAAGATCAAAGGTGACTGCAAATCAAACCAGAATTTTCTACACTATGCCATGGCAAATCAGCCTTTTGCATCTATTATGAGAAAACCATTAATTAACATGACCTGGTGTCATTCCTCCTGTAGGGTCTTTCAGTGTCCTTCAGTGCACAGGACAGCCTGTGCTTTGGGAATGGAGGAAGGGATACCTATGGAAGAAGCTGCTCTCTGTAAGAGCCTTAGCTCAGAGGGAGGCTTGCATAAAAAGATAAAAGAGGTAGAATTGATTGGAAAGGAAACCAGGTGATAAAATAGCCAGTCTGCCTGTTCCCCCCGAATTAGAGAGCTGACGGAATGTGAAGTAGCTTTGCCTGTCAGCAGTTTGTATGTGTGTTCACAGATTAGCCTTTTACACAGTCATGACTCAGGTCTGGTTTTGGAGATGAGCTGAAGTCTAATCAGGTAAATGCAAGTACTACCTGCATTGCTTGGAGCCATCCAGAACAGAAATCTGTCTGCACTGCTGCTGTTACTATGCTGCAGTGCTAGTCTTGCTTATTCATAGCTATACATTACTTTTAAAAGATGAGACCTGAAACCTATGCTACAGCAGAGGCATTGCAGCTGAGGCATTCCGCTTACAGTAAAGACTTCAATGTAAAAATTATCCTTGTCCTTGGCCAGCTTGAAGAGAGAATCATCTTGGTGACCTGGATATCACTACAAATGCATGTGAATGTGTGATGTTTGTGTTCTTCTGCTGGAGCAGTGGCTCCAGCATGAAGGCACACAGCATCTGCATGGCAGAACCTGGGGGCTGGTGTGCTTAGGGAGCACCCACACCTAACTTCTTATCTGGGTATCCGGACCTCTGGGATGTGCAGACATGAATGTTAGTGTTCAGCTCCTAGGAAACGCATTTACAGTCATAGTACTGCTAACAGATCATGCAAGGAGTCTAAAAACCTCTTATGTCACTCCCATTCACTTCTCTAGCACTTCCATTTGATCCGTGATAACTAGTTTTGACCTGTGTCAGCAGCACCAACAATCAACACATTCAGCCAAAAGTCAGTAAAGAAAAATACAAGATTTGGAGCAGAAACTTCTTTCTTGCAGAGCTGATGTTGCAGCTGGATATACGCAGGGAGAGGGGCTCGGGAGAAGAGGGGGGGCACTGATGTTCTTGCCTGGTTGCAATGCGAGTGCCAGAGCCACCAGTTGAATTGGGCACAGTAACCATAGCAACAGCGAGTTTCCGGGACTTGGGTGACAGGTTGACAGGATTACTCTTCAAAGCCCTTGCTCCCTTGGGAGAGAAGACCTAAAGCAAGGGAATGGGAGTTAATTTAGCGCACACACACTAGAGCAAGGGTCAGCAGTGTCAGGTCTCTGCTGGAGGGAAGCCTGCAGCAGCAATAAACAACTCCCTTTCAGCAGGACTTTGAGTACCACCAAAATCGCCGTAGGGGGCATCCAACAAAGAAAAATGGGGGATGCAGGCAGAAAGTGGCACCACTCCCTTCTAAATGACAGTCGCAACCAAGAGTTCCTACATGTCTCAAACCCGAGTCTCTGCTTTGCCATGACGGCTTTACCCTGCCCTGCCATTCCTGCTTCCAGCACTGGGATGGCCAGATGTGGCTGCAGAGTCTGACTCTGAAAATGCTCAGTTATGCCAGACCTGGAAGGAACGGGAAAGCTGCAGGGGAGGGGGTGAGGCAAGTGTGCTGGTGTGTAGGATAGGAAGGAGTATGAGATGAAATGTTTGGACGGTGGGGTGACTGAGGCATGGGCATGGATGTTGTAAGAGGTGGGCATGTAGAAGACAAGAGGGTGCTTGCACGGTGATGTGAAGCAGGGAGAAGGGAGGCACTGTGGCAGTGTAGGGGACAGGAGAGAAGGCTGTCGTCTCCTAAGGTTCATTGTTGCAAAGGTATCACTGGCATCTGAAATTCAGCTCTTTTTAGAAGTGTCACCTTCTTGTGCACCGTTGTTTTAATTTCCTTGGATTTTGGTGAATAATGGGCTGCTCTCCCATCTGCCCATTTGGTAAGAGAGATGCATGACAGTGCTATCTCAACGTGTTGGCAATTTTGGGCTAATAAAACTTCCCTTTGGGACACAATTAACAATTAGACCAATGCCATGAATTCATGCCCAGCACCAAAAAAGCATAAGACTAATTTAAAGCTGGTTTTGCTCTGCTCCTCCTAGTGCTGGATGGAAAGATTGAAACCACACACAGGCAAACATTTCCTATCTTCCCACGGCTGCTGAGAGCCAACTGCAATTGCTCACACTGTGTAGAGGACCAGGTACACTCTACCTGCCCATTCCTGTAAATTATTTGGAGAAGTCACTGTCTACACAAGCTCAGAAGGCTTCTTTGGAGGCTGCCTGGCACCAGAGGTTCACAGAGCTAAAAATGGGGGCAGCTCCAGGATCCAGCTGCTGGAAACCTGCATGGCCAGACCTCTACTCATAAGCAATCAATGCTTAATGCCAGAGAAATTCTTTTGCCATGCTTTTTTTTTTTCCATAGCAGGAAGAAGACATATACATGCCTGGATGGAAGAACTCAGTCTGCAGGCCAAAAAGGCATAAATCTCACTGCACCTTTCATTGACCTGACTTTTGGTCCTGTAAAAGCAAGTGGTGCAGGCAGAAATGTTTCACAACAAAAATATAGAAGCTGGAAAGGTGGATGCAATAGAAATGCTGACAGAAGCTTAATTAAAGTACTGCAGAAAGGATAGCTCTATCAAAAATGTAATGTGGCAATAGAATATTTCTATCACCTTCTGTTAGCAACTTACAGGTGGCTGCAGGACTATTTCCATCTTCTTAACTGCAGCTCTTTTACTACCTTTGTCTTCTTCCCTGCTTCCATTTCCCTCCCACCAGACATGCTTTGTAAAACATCCATGAATTATGGAGCAACTCTCTGCCAGTAACTTTTACCTAAACCAATAGGAGGTTGAAGGCAACTATTCCAAGGTCTTGGAATGGGAAAACCTGGGTTCTTCAACTCTTTGTTCTCACACTGTGCTTGTCTTGGTTATCCTTCAACCCCTCCGATTGTGAAATGCAGAAGAATCAATCTAGAAAAGGAGCCTTAGTTGAAAGGCTCCATGTAAATGAAAATTTAATTATTATGAAACCACCTCAAAGAGTATACCCTCGTTTCACCTGTCCCGTTTCACCTGTACCTCAGCCTAAAAAAGCTGGCAGAATGAGGAGGACTGCTTAGTGCAAAACAGCATGTACTCATGGCAAGCATGCCAGCCAGAGCTCTACACACCCTGAATCCAGTGCTGACCTTTCCTGTCATCCCTCCCTCCTTGCCAGCAAAGGCCAAGTGCTTTCATCTTCTTAAAAACTGTCCCTGGTTCTGCCCACCACCACAATACAGGGGGGCTGGGGGGTAAACAAGGAGAGGATGTGGGTGGCAGATTTGCAGTTTAGAAGTGCACAGGCAAGAGGGATGCCTTGATTTCCCTTGCACTGCCAACAAATTAAAAACCCCCAAGTTTAAGCCTCCCCAGCTTTTGGGCTTTAGCCACCCATTTCACTATTTTTCCAATGGAGGGCAAGCTACTCTCGCCCAGGCTTCCCCTTCTTCTTTTAGCCTGGAGAAGAGAAGGGTGACCTTATCACTCTCTATAACTACCTGAAAGGAGGTTGTAGCCAGATAGGGTTTGACCTCTCCTACCAGGCAACAAGCAACAGGATGAGAAGACAAAGTCTCAAGGTGTTCTAGGGGGGGTTCATGTTGGACATTAGGAGGAACTTCTTAACAGAAAAAGTATTGGAATATCAAAAACATTGGAGTGCACTGCCCAGGGAGATTGTGGACTCATTGTCCCTGGAGGTGTTTAAGAAAACACGGGACGTGGCACTTAGTGACATGGTCTAGTTACCAAGGTGGTTGACAAGAGGTCTTTTCCAACCTAATTGGTTCTGTGATTTTGTGATTCTCCTCAAGCAGCTTGCCCAGGGCTTCATTGCCTTAGGGATGCCCTTGGAAGCCACATCAGCCTCTGCAGTATGCAATCACCTCCACTGGCTCGGGCTGCAGGGAACCCTCCTGGGAGGGCTGGCAGAAGCCCTAAGGCTGCTGCCTGGCCCTGCCCACCCGCACAGCACCCCCACCCCCTGGTTCCCCAGCCCCGCTGCCATCCCTGCCCGACACTCCCTCCTCATCCATCCCTCCCTCCATACCTCCGTTCATCCATCCCTCCATCCATCCCTCCATCCATCCCTCCATCCATCCATCCATCCCTCCATCCCTCCCTCCATCCATCCATCCATCCCTCCATCCCTCCCTCCCTCCATCCATCCATCCATCCATCCATCCATCCATCCCTCCCTCCCTCCCTCCATCCACCCCTCCATCCATCCAGACCTCCATCCACCCCTCCATCCCTCCATCCCCCTCCCCCGCGTTCCCACGGCCGCCCACCCGGCCGTGGGGGCGTGGCCCCGCTGCGGGCTGGCGGCGATTGGCTGTGGCCGGGTCTCCGGCGGCCAATGGCGGGTGGCGGGGCCCGCGCGTGGCGGCGCCGTGCGGGGCGGCGGGCGCGCCGTGCCCGGCTGTGACCGTGCGCTGCTCCCGCTTCCCTGCCTGCTTCCCTGCCTGCCCGCTGCCTCCTGCCCGACCGCGAGGCGTGGGAACTCCATGGGGGAGACGGGCGCCGGGCGAGGCGCGGGACGCGCGCTGGGAGCGCTCCTCCCGCGCCCTGCCGCCCGCCGCCTCCCCGACGGCCGCCCGCGCCCCGCCGCCCCTGGCGCCGTCCCCGCCGGCGGTGCCATGAAGCGGGCACACCCCGAGTACAGCTCGTCGGACAGCGAGGAGCTGGACGAGGCCATCGAGGTGGAGAAGGAGAGCGCAGACGAGAATGGGTGAGCTCAGGCAGGGTGGGCACCGTGGGGCTGCGTGGCGCCCCCTCCCTCCCCTCGGCCCCGCGCAGCCCCGGCACCCCCGAGCCCCCCAGTCCCTGCCGTGACCGGTGTCCCGCTCCCCCCCGCAGGAACCTGAGCTCGGCCGCGGGCTCCATGTCGCCCTCCACCACCTCGCAGATCCTGGCCAGGAAGAGGCGCCGAGGGGTGAGTGCCCGCCGGCCGGCCGCGGCTCCCCGCAGCCCGGCCCGGCCGCCCTGACCCCCGCTCTCTGCCCTACAGATCATCGAGAAGCGCCGCCGCGATCGCATCAACAACAGCCTGTCCGAACTGAGGAGGCTGGTGCCCAGCGCCTTTGAGAAGCAGGTAGCGCCCAGCGTCCTTCTGCTCTGCCTCCCTCCGCTCCCGGCAGGGAGTGTCACCCTCTCGGTAACGTCTCTGGTTCTGCCTAAAATGTTTCGTACTCCCCGTTCCCTCTTAGGGATCAGCCAAGTTGGAAAAAGCAGAGATTCTGCAGATGACTGTCGATCACCTGAAAATGCTGCATACAGCGGGAGGGAAAGGTAAAGTTTTGTGCCTGACAGTGAGGCAGCAGCTCTGCAGAGAGACTGCTGTGAGAGGAGCATATTCCTGAGTATTGGGTGTGCAGTGTGCTGGGGAGTGCTTGGAGAACGTGCATGGTAGCTATCATATGTTTCATCAGGAATTTGGGTGTTTCTCCTACTTTACAAGGTTTGCGGCATTGCTAGCACTGAAAGGCTTTGTGGTGCTAGCTCTGGGTTGTTCTAGAGGAGAGTGAGTGCAAGTCTCTCTAGCAATGTGTCAGCACTGTGAAGTGAATCAGATTTTGGCAGCTTGGAAAACACAGTTATTGTTGTTGTCTAATGTTTGTTTCTCTAACTTTCTGAAAGTTCGGAACTAGGAAAAGATACAGGATGAAATAAGTGGTGAAAAGAATTAACAAAAATGGTGAAAAGTGCTTTTAAGAAAAAAGTACTTTGCCTGTTTAAGTACCCTCTGCTAAGTTAGGACTTGTATTTCTAATGAATTTCATTGTGCTGTGGTTTTGCTTGCACAGGGGAGCCACGGAAAGAACAAAAATACTTTCCTCCAGTGGCAGTGAGCAATTTCAGTTTAAAAATGGCAGTTTCTGACTAGTCTTGGGACTTGCAGCATCACAGCACAGAAAAGCTTGTTAGACAAAAAAAAAGAAAAAAAAGGAGCTCAGCAGCTAGGCTATGGTTGGGAATACTAACCACATCCAAGTGAAATACGCTTACAGGGGAGGGTGGAGTAGGAAGGCTACTTGTAGACAATAACTAGAAAACAGCATCTTAAGACTCTGTTCTTTTCTCTTAGGTTATTTTGATGCTCATGCTTTGGCTATGGACTATCGGAGTCTGGGGTTTCGAGAATGCCTGGCTGAAGTTGCTCGATACCTGAGTATCATAGAGGGTCTGGATGCCTCTGATCCTCTGCGAGTTCGACTCGTGTCTCATCTCAATAACTACGCCTCTCAACGGGAAGCAGCAAGTAGTGCACACACTGGCATTGGACACATTCCTTGGGGCAATGCCTTTGGACATCACCCTCACATACCTCACCCATTGCTGCTGGCTCAAAATGGGCATGGCAATACCAGTACTGTAGCATCTTCTACAGAGCCACATCACCAGACCAGAATTGCTGTCCCACATGCTGAAACTTCCTCACTCAGAGTGCCCCCAAATGGCAGCGTTGGACCAGTGCTCCCTGTGGTCACATCTACTACTAAACTGTCTCCTCCGCTTCTCTCCTCCATGGCATCGCTGTCTGCGTTCCCCTTTTCGTTTGGCTCCTTTCATCTGCTGTCCCCCAATGTGCTGAGCCCATCTACACCAACGCAGTCAGCAACACTTAGCAAACCATACAGACCCTGGGGGACTGAGATTGGCGCCTTCTAAGAACCAGCTCTTTAGTTAGGGTGGGAAAGCCTACAAACCTAGCTGAGCTGGGTTATGCCACCCTTAATGTTGAAGTTCTTAATAACTGGGACAAAGGTACAGCTTCACCTTAAACAAGTCTGTCTAAAAACTGTCTCATTGGATTTTTTTTGTTGTTTTCTACATTGTATTAACAGTTTGTTGGTTGTTTTTTTTTAATAGTTGCTGAAGTTGTCCAAAAATAAAATTACCATAGTGGTTTGTTAACACTTGTGTTAGATCTCTGCTGAGCATTTAAGTCACTTTTGTAAACAGTTTTCTTCAAATGTTTCATTTTTCCTGAGTGCATCAGACTGGCTTTTTATGAAGAGATATCACATATTAATGTTGGTGAAGGCCTAGTTTTGTTATTAATTTTTCCAAGACCACCCTTCTCAGCATTAACAAGCTGTGTTTTTATTAGTATTTTGACATTGAGATGTTATATAAAGAATTACTCTTTTTGTAAACTATATTTGAGTCTTATATTTCTGAGCAAAGCGTTGACAAATCAGATGGACCTGCTTGACCAGTTTTATGTAAGAGTCTAATTTCTATTTCTTCTGCAGTAGTTTGGTATATTTGGTGATCTTATTTTAGTCCCTAGTGAACATTTACTCACATCTCAGAACCACTACGTTATTTCTCCCACCAAAAGGAACAGTATGAGTAAGGAGGGTGCAAAAGCCAAATTGCACAGTGTATTGGTGATGGGTTTAGTTGCTGGGGAAGTTAAGGGAAATAAAGTTGTCACCTGCAGTAGTCTTCCAGCTGGAGCTGGTCATATGCATATTCATTTCATAGGGCCAGATTATGCTTGGAGTTACAGTGGAGTAATTGTTCTATTAGCCTGAATTCTTGGGTATCTGAGATCAGACTCTCTATGAGCTTCACATTCTCACCTGAAATGAATGATGCTGGTATTTAATTAGCCATTGGAATGGTACAGTGGAACCCGTTCAGTGCCCAGCCTTGTTGCTTAACAGGTGCATCCTAACCAGTTGATTGCGTTTTACTTTTAAGTGCAGTTCAGTGCCACTCTTCATTTTGTAAGGGCTCTGCTGTGTTCCAGTGTGTGAGAGAGTGTGTGCATGTACACGTATATTTTGTTTGATTTCATGAGAATCTTAATCTGAACAGGTTTATTGAGGGAGTTCCATTGGATGGGGTTTGCCTGCTCTTGTATCTGTGTTGTGGCTAAATAAAGGAGAAAGAACGAAGTATTTTAAATGACATGCTTGTCTGATATATATCAGTGGAGAATTCTATGCCTCTGGGTGTCATGGGAGATGTCAAACAATTGCTACTTAGTCCTGCCATGGGCATTTGTATTTACTCTTTTCTCAGATATTATGGCATGCTTAGCTACACTAGCTGAGTGCATGAAGAACCACAGTGCCTCGGAGTAACAGCTGAGGGAAGGAAAATGTAGGATTTGTTTTGCATGTCACTTTTACGTGTGTGGGCAGACAGTGAAGATACAAGGGTTTCTGCTATAGAAGAGGTTAAAGCTGCACTGCACATGAATAGTCTTAGTGACTTTTATTACTATTAAAAAGTGATCATTTTTACAAATGTGGAGTTGTTTTCTGTCTAACTCATGAAATTGTTATCTGCCCTATAGCTCTGCAACAAAGTTTTGTACCTTACAGTCTGGTTTAGCTCACAGTCAGTCAGTCCATTAGTACAGAATCTACCCAAGGTCTCCGACTGATCCTGTGTTTGTTACTGAGCAGTACCACTGGTGCCTAACACTTTAAGTAGCAACCTGCCAGGATTACTGGTTTTCTCCGGATGAGGTCTGTCCTACCTGCAAATCTCTGCCTGCAGAACATCAACAACTTCTCCTGGAAGTACTTCGCTTCTTTCCTATGCATTTGAATTTATACTACCCTTGTGTTGGTAAATGGCACATCCTTGTCTGGATTTAGCTCTGCCAGAATAGCAGAAAGAGATCAGCCCTGTGGGAGACGAGAGCTTTGTTTAAAGGGGGGCTCTTGGGCCAATTAAGGAGTGGCATTGATGAGAGGCTTTCTCAGAAGGATTGCTGTGAGGCTGGAAAGAGCGGGAGAGCATTCAAGTGCGTAACCTTGTTTTACCTTCCTCCCAAGTCTGTAGGAGACCACTGCTAGAAGTGAAATGCAAAACTGTGGGAGCTAGAAATACATAGGTGTTATTAAGGAGAGATTATAGAGCCTAGTATTTCATGTAGAAACCTGAAATAAGAGGCTGTAAAATTCCAAATCCAGTTTCCTTTCACTGTGTGTATTGTCTCCTCTTTAATTACCCTCTGCCCTGTCCCTAACAGGTTTTTATAGCAAATTAACAACTCCTACCTAGAAGATTGCTATAGTGCATGCAACTATTCTTTAGATCTTTTAATAAATGGCAATGCTTCTCAGCCTTTTAATGGTTATTTCATTGACATTCAAATGACTTTGCCTCCCTCTAAATAGCTGGCTCTTTTGTGTAGAAAGACCCCTATAATTATTTTTGTCCCACTGTCCTACTCTTGAATGGACTTCAGAAGCAGAGTGCAATAAAAGTTTAGCTGCTGGTTTGTCTCTATATCCACTATCTTCTCTTTCCATTACCAATGACAAAGGTATTAATGAAAAGTACTACTTTTATTCAACTTTTGCAGTAATTCAATATTAATTTTTAGGGATTCAAAATCTACTGGTTGTTATGGGAAAGAGAGGAATGAATTCTAGGAAATCACAAAAACTAGTAATTCAAAAGGGAAAAGCGTGGCCCAGAAGCTGAAACACCAGAGTTGTAAGCCCAGGGCTGTGTTATTATTGGTGCTAACTTCGTACATGTGGCTTGACAATCGTTTAATGCATATCTGTTTTGCCAGCTGTGAAACAGGTATGGTAGTGCTTTGTCTCCTTTCCTCAGAGACAGTGGTAGTTGGAAATATTCTATATTAATGATAAATGCTGTTTTTTTCTCAAAAACTACAGTTCTGAGATGTTCTGCTATTTTTTCTTTCCTGTAGTATGCTAGATTTCTGAAGACAAACTGAGAAAGGCAAAATAAGCTTGCTTCTACAAGGAACAGATATCTTCTGAGCCCAAAACATTTACTTGTTTACCCTATTGCAAAGGAGCAACTGAGGAGCACAAGCTTAACCAGAGGGATGCCGGAGAAGAAAGGGAATGTATCCCATGACCCCCCAGCTACCTTCAATTGCTTTGGATGAAATATGTCCATCCGGAAATCCTCAGGCTAAAGCTCTGTGTGGGATGTAAGATGATGTGGTGTTTCATTTAAGCTAATATTATCTTCCTTTATCAAGGAGTCTGGATTTGAGTGCAGAATAAAGTTAAAAGGCTGGTAAATACTGCACAAAACCAGATACAAACCTCTAGAAATCTGTTCTGTGCTTTGGCATAAAGGAATAGCTGATGAAAGTGACATTTTTTTAGCTTTTGGAAAGAAGCTGTCAGTAGTTCTTAAGACACTTTCTGTTCAGTGCTCCTGTCTTTACACTAGTAGCATGACAGAGTTTATTAGGATCATGCTGAAAACCCCATGAATCCTGGCTATTGCTCTCTTCACTCACACATCAGCATGTAATTCCCCAGGTGACAGGAGCCTTCCTAGACTATTGCATAGTGGTGGGAAGACTGCCAGGTTATTTTTTTTTTTCCTGCAACAAATAAGCCCAAGTGAGCAGAGAGAAACTGAAATCCTTCTTCCTGTTTTATATTGTGTGCATATGGACAAATGTTTCTTTGCCAGAAACTCCCAGTTTAAATTGTAATGCACTCTACATGGAGCTGGAAGTCTCTAGTGAGTAATGTAGAGGTCACGGGCTTTGTGCTGGAAGGCAACAAAAATTATTTACAAAGCCCTTTCCTGAGGCCTTACATGAAAGGTTGCAGAGATCGGTTGTGGTACTTGTGACTCAGTACGTTAAGGCACCAATGTGTCCACATATTAACCAGTGTACCTGGCCTCGTAGGGTCTGTGTGTGCTTTGCCTACAACTGAGTGCCTCTCTCTCCACTTGCCCAGTTTATAAATAAAAATTAGAAAAGTCCCTTTCTTCTGGAGCCAGAATATGTGAGCATTGACTCATGCTTGCAATATAGTAGCTTGACTGTGGTAATAAATGTTAAAAAGCCCATACCTAGTAAGATACAGATACTTGAAGGTGTCTTTTAGTAGTCTGAAGGGTTTGTTTGCTGAAAGCTTTTATTAAGGAAGTGCTTGGGTATTATATGTTCTCTCTTATTCCAGCTAGTTCCACGTAATTTTTTCGCTAGCAAATTCTACTGATTATTCATGCAGCTTGAAGGAGGGGACCAAGTTGCCTTGCTCTAACCCCATGCTATGTGCAGTCTGCCCAAGTCTTTACAGCAAACTTCATAGACAGAGGTTTTCTTCCAGCTGTTTTTTTCTTTTTTTTTTCTTCACTAAATCATGTAACACAGCTGTATAATGCAGGAGGAGCTTATCTAAGTGCTCAAGACAGCTGAGCACTGGGGGCATTCTGCCCTGCTTATAAAGCCCTTAACCACATTACATTGCTCAGACCTTTTCAGAGCCTTTTACCAGGCCACTTGCTTCAGGAGAGGAAGGGGGGAGTAGCTGCAACCATTTTGCACATCTTCTGCACTACTGCTTGTTGGGGCAGCCTCAGCACTGGGAGGCCTCTGCAGATCACACTTTTCTCTCTGCATTAAAAAGGCTTCTTGGAGCTTTCCAGGTGGCTTTACTCCAAGGTAGGCTGTAAAATCTAAGCACAGACATTAGTAACAGGTTAAACAGCATTTGTCTGTTTTGCACTGCTTTCACAGAAAATAGGATGTTGAAGTAGCTGGTGAAACAGCTCTGGACAGAATGGCAGGAGAAGGAAGGAAGGCTGATCTGCACGATCAGAGGAAAACTGAACAGATGAATGAAGAGATGCATTGTTTGCATTGCTTGTGGCAAAGATACGGAAATACCTGACATCAGATGAAAAAATAAGCTGCATGCCAGTATGCAGAGGATTCAGAGAAGGGAAGGTAATACTTGGTATTCATAATTTTGCTCAGTAAGCGAGAAACAGATGAGCAACATACAAACAGCAAGGCAAATAGTTTAAAACCAGTAAAGTGCTGAAACAAATGTGTGTGAATGTCTTAACTGAATTTGATGGGTCAACTCACTGGCTAGGGAGAAAGCAGGGCTAGATGGACTTATCGGCTATAAAAATGCATCACAGCATGGTTTACTGATTGCCTTTGTACAATCTGGTCAAGTAAGGGTAAGGAGTTCAAGGAATTAAAGCATGAGAGGGGGCTTGACCCAACTTGACAGAGAATTTGAGACATCAGGATAACTGAGAAGAGCACCTAATATCTGGTAGCTTCTTCCACAAATCTCTCAGCCTTCATCAGCAGTTACCGCCTTGCTGCTAGTACAGCCACTTAGCTCTTGGATTTTGGCATGGTGTTTCTGGGCATGGCTTAGCCATCTACATAGGTATACGAGGTCCTTCGCCATTGCATGAGTAGGGCAGGTGCACATTCTGACTAGTAGTGGAAAAATAGCTCTGCCTCCTTATCCACCAGATAAGGGATATCTGGTAGAGAGAACACAGAGCTGTTAACTTGTTTCATATTATATATCTGCTGTAGATAGTGCTGATAATGACTTGATCATACCTCTTCTTATGGTCACCAAGGCTGACTTCTTTAACAGTGGAGGCTATTTCAGAGGCTGGATTTAAACAGCAAAGGATGAAATGAGAAAAATTGTCATCTGTTGCTGTTCAGTGATGGCTATGTGAAAGTTTGTGGGATTGGATAGTCATTAAAAATGTAGCAAAGGGAACTGAAGTGTGTGCTGTAGGAACTATTTTACATGCTGCACAGCAGGTATATCTGTTTTTTACTTTATCAGGAAAACATCAATGTGATTGAACAATGTTCCCTGTATAATGTAGATGCCTAACTGTCTGTAGATTGCCCCTTTGAATTTCTCTGGGATTCATTGCATCTTCTGTTAAGAGGAAATTATCAACAACAAGAGGAAATCCTGTACTAGTACTGAATAGTCCTTATTTTAAAGGTACTTCCCTTCTTGTGGGAATTGTATATAATCAGAACAACACTCCATAAAACAGATGAATTATTTTAGAAGGAGACGGGTCAGCCTTTTATTTAAAAGGTCTGACGTTATTGTACATAAGAAAATCAATTGTTAGAGTGGATGACATTCTTCCACTAGCTGCCTGTGCTTCCCAAAGGTGGGGCAAAGTTTAAGGCATTGGTAACAGGAAGCCTGGGCTCCTTAGAGACTTTCATGTTTTCTGGAGCACGCAATGACAGAATGACTCTTATTGGCCCCCAAAATAGCACCAGGAATAAGAATGATTAAACTTTACCCTGTTAAGAGCTGGAATAGGTGGAGATGTGAATGGTGCACATACCTGTGGGCCAAAACCAAATATCCATTAGGTTGACATGGGCAGGGGTAAGGTGCATTAGTCAGCAGTGTGTTGTAAATGCCGTGCAAGCAGAAAGAGGAGCTCTTTGAAGACAAACTCTTCCAATATGTTTCCAAGATCTGGCCACCAGC